GGCATTTTAAATTTACCAATAGTGTTTTGGTATGAAAGTAGTTGAGAAACTACTTATTAATAAATACTGTATTTGGATCATGCCAGTAATACTTCAGGTTTCATGTTGTAATACATTGCACTTTTAATTCAATTCATTCAAATTATTTTTAAAAACCCATTCCTGCCACCTGTCCCACAGGATCAATGTACAAACCAGTACATGGTATTTAAAGTAAGTTTCGGATCCCTTTGTCACTTCTCAGTATCAACAGGATGACAAAATTTAATGGCCATTATCGAAAATTGTAATCCAAACTTACCTATTTTCTAGTTCAGATATATCAGCCTGTAGCTTGAGATGCCATTTCTCAGCCTGACTAAACACTTGTCTCAAAAGAAGTACATTAGTGTGTGCCGCATTAATGAGTTCAGATTCTACTTCTCCCCTCACTACTGCACACAGGCCATCCAACATGTCTGTTACTTCATCCAAAGTATACGTGTCTTCCACAAGTCTGTGGAACACAGTTTTATCATCAAATCAACTAGCTAGCTGAGGGTTCTGTTATTTGGTTACCTGTGATCATCTACATGGACACTGCTATTAAAATAATACAGGACACCATCACCTGAGTATATGCAAAGTCTTGGATACTAGTCAAACTAACAACTACTGTTTACCATTAGTTAAAAAAAATATCCTAGCCTTCAATTTATGCATTGCTTTTTAATACCTGCTGTCTTTAAGTTCTTCAAAAGATGCATCAACCCCTCGAAGCCTCTGTCCTCGACTATAACGTGCAAACCTAAGATAATTCACTACAACCTGTTGATGATGCTGATTCAGTCCAATATCCTACAATAAAGAAATAATTTATCGAGTCACAAGTCTGGTAGCTTGGGTACCTAGGTCAGGTTAAGGGTGTTTTGACTTTTTCATGATTTCTGATGAGCATCTCGTCGCTTTAAATATACTAAATATCTCCCACTCTTCTCTTATTCTCTTTGGAACACCCTCTGACCTCACTTTTTCGCATAATAACATATTACAGCCCATATTTGAGTAGATTTGGCAAAAAGGCAGATGCTCGAAGAGCTGTTAAAATGCATTGCCAATATTATGACCTGGTAATTCATTAACAATGCACAAAACAAGCAAAACCTTGCTCATTCAGGAGATTTCACAAGAAAACTGCTAGGTTACTTTTGAATGTTTTATATCAATCGCCAGTGCAGCCTTTCAGTATCTAACAGACAATGTAAAACCCGCTATGCCAGCTGGGTACGTAAAGCTGACATTGTACAATGTCGTACGTACAACATGCAACATAATACCGATACTAAAAGATTAGAACGTCAAACAAGACTTAAGCTTAACTATATGCCAGTCATGTAGCTAGTACTGGATCTGGAATTCGTGCATTAAAGGAATATTTTCTCTCCAAGAAAAGCAACATCACTGATGTTGTTAGCTTCCTAGGACTTAACGAGTTTGTGGCTTTCCCTCGGTAACACATTTAACAGCAAAGCTAAAACAATTAACCTTAGCATTGAACGCTCAAAGTAAAGAGTTGTCAAAATTAAATATTATAAATTAATGGGACAGCTATCACAATAACGTTAGCTTAAATTATTCTCAAAGAAAAGAAAACATATTCGCCAACTAAAATTCAATTACTAAGGGCTACCAAATCCACTTATTTGATTGAATGAGTTTATCATAATACCGGATGAAATTCTAGCCGCTTAGCTGATAGGCAACAAAAAACTAAGAAAATTACTCACCATGACGGACAGCTTAGCTTGCCAGAGTACAGTATTCCTCTTTATTAAGTTCTAGTACGAATTTGTGGATTTGTTGGCCGACCAGACCCGAGTAGAAGTAGAATTTTTTTTATCTTTCATCAAATCCAAGGACGCCAATCGGCAGCCATAGCAAAACTAGCTTGGTAACCAGGCCGGTCATCGAGACTCAAGCACAGGATACCCAAGCTTTGCAGAGCATGTACGCACAATGAACACACACACGTACAAAGTGCGAAGTTTAAAGAATAAACATCATTTTTCATGAGTCTGTCCTGTTATTGATCATGAATTTCGTCATAACATTGTCAAAGTAGCTGTGGATCCACGAGGCGATAGCCGAATGGAACCGCAGACTACTTTGATAATTTTATGACGAAATTCATGATCAATAACAGGACAGACGTATGAAAAACTGACGTCAATTTGTTTTTTACGATAACAAATGGTCCGCTCTCGTTCGTTGCCGCATCGCCTAAATTATAAATTCATGTGTTTGTCCGCTTATTGACAATGAAAAATAGCCGATGAGCGCGCGAGAATTTCTGCAGTTATCGTAAAAAATTAGACTGACAATAGGTACGTTGATGTCTAGATTCGGAGGTCAAATGTGTCAACGGCTAAGGATCGAATTATAAATTTGAAGTTGACAA